GTTTAAAGATTACTTAACAGGCATCAAAATCCAAGTCCATATCTTTGGAAATTTATTTTTGGTTACACTCAATTAAGGCTTCTCCCTTCCACCTATCTGATGTCTTTGACAACACACATCTCTGAACCTCTGCATACACCATTCAGTGCTTCTGAAATGCCCTGTCCTGTTTCTCATTGCAAATATTCCTTCTCATTTGTCCATGCACTGTGTTTAATTATCTTTTCCATCTTCATCTGATGGCATGATATTTTGTATTTCTGACTTGTTTGTAATTTTTTCCATTTCAACTCAGGTGTCTCTTTAGGTTGATTATTAATAACTAAAGTACAGGGTCCATATACTCTATAATTATTTAACCATTCAGTTTAAAATTATTCCATGGTGTATATTGCAGGTATATGGACATTATAGGTAAATAAAAGGCTTGTCAAACATTACTTAAACATCCCTATCAAGTAGCATAGTGCGTAAGGCATTTGACTGCTAACCAGAAGGCTGGGGGTTCAAACCCACCAGCCACTCCTCAGAAGGAAGACTTGGCAATCTACTTTCACAGAGATACTGCTTTAAAAACTCAATGAGGGGTCACTATGAGTCAGATTCGACTCTATGGCAGTGAGTTTGGTTTCTTTTGATATCAAGTACAGAACTATTGAGTGAACCACAAAATGTATAAGCAAACAAATAACTGATCTGTTAACATTTTACCTGTTCCATTTTGATGAGGAAGCAATCAATGAAGTCCCGAGGATTGTTAGTGTCCAAGGATTCTTGATGTTCTCTTATTTTCTCCAAAGTATAACTTTTTAAATAAGCAATATTATTAAGTAATTTTTTATGACTCCCTGGGAAATAATCAATGAGCAGAGGAAAAGTATTGCAGATCTAAGAGAGAGAAAAATCTTTATTACATATTTTTAAAAAATCTCATGACAACATATGTGTCATATGTTAAGCATAGTGCTTAAGGTATTTGATTGCTAACCAGAAGGCTGACAGTTCAAACCCACCAACCACTCCTCAGAAGGAAGGTTGGGCAATCTACTTCCATAGTGATACTGCCTCAGAAACCCAAGGAGGGGTGACCATGGGTTGGATCGACTGGATGGCAGTGAGTAAAAGCCCTGGTTAGAAATTGAGCCTAAAAACATGAATACAATATGATCTCCAATTTGAAGGTAATCTATACTGTACCTATAAAGTATTTTTCTAGGCTTATAGAAAGATTCAAGGGAGAAAACTTTGACCAGAGGATCAAAGCTGATAACCTTTTCCTAAACTCATACATTATTTCTACAATATAAAAGAACATCTTTCTATCGATACTATTTTTTTTTAACATCAACAATTCCCTACAACCAAAAAATGGAGGATGGCATAAATTAGTATGATTCACATTTTGTTAATGAGCATATAGGTTAAGGAAGTGGACAACCTGAACCTGACATGGAGCATAAAGCTAGTTGTGGCTGCTTTTACCTCTTGCAAGCAGCATCAGAAATGGAATCAATATTTTAGAAATGCGAGGAGCTTGAAATTACCATGGCACCTTACTTAGCATTTCATGTATAAAATAACTATTAAAAGAACAATTAAGTGATTTCTCTAAGTTCATGATAACACCACTGTGGTAGACCAGACCATCAATTACACATGTGCAAGTTCAAGGTGAAGCTAAAGAAAATTAAAACAAATCCATGAGAGCCACAATATGACCTTGTGTATTATTCCACCCAAATTTAGAGAACATCTGAAGAATAGATTTGACACATTGAACACCAATGACTGAAGATCAGATGAGTTGCGGGATGATGTCAAAGTCATCATACATGAAGAAATCAAAATATTATCAAAAGGATGTGAAAGGAAGAAAAGACCAAAGTGGATGTCAGACGATACTCTGAAACTTGCTCGTGAATGAAGAGTATCTAAAGTGAATGGAAGAAATGATGAACTAAAAGAGTCAATCAGATTTCAATGGGCAGCTTGAGAAAACAAAGTAAAGTATATAATGAAATATACAAAGACCCGGGATTAGAAAACCAAAAAGAAAGAGCATTCTTGGCATTTCTCAAGGTAAAAAAACTGAAGAAAAAATTCAGCCTGTGAGTTGTAATATTAAAGGATTATAGAGGCAAAATATTGAATGATGCAGTAAACATCAAAAGAAGATAGAAAGTATACACAGAGTCACTGTACAAAAAGAATTGGTCAATGCTCAAGCATTTCTGGAAGAAGCATATGATCAAGAACCAACAGTATAGAAGGAAGAAGTCCAAGCAGCACTGAAGGAACTGGCTAAAAACAAGGCTCTAGAAATTGACAGAATACCCATGGAGGTGTTTCAACAAACAGATGTAGCACTGGAGACACTAACTCATTTATGCCAAGAAATTTAGAAGACAGCGACTTGACCAAGAGGCTGGAGGAGATCTATGTTTGTATCCATTGCAAAGAAAGGTGATCCAACAGAATGTGGAAATTATCAAATAATATCATTAATATCACACTCAAGTAAGATTTAGGTGATGACAAGTCAAGAATGGTTGCAGAAGTATATTGACAGAAAACTGCCAGAAATTCAAGGTGGATTCAGAAGAGGACATAGAACAAGGGATATCATTGCTAATGTCAGATAGATCTTGGCTGAAAGCAAAGAGTACCAGAAACATGGTTACCTGTGTTTTATTGACTATACAAAGGCATTAGACTGTGTGGATCATAACAAATTGTGGATAACATTATAAAGAATGGGAATTCCCAAACACTTAATTATTCTCATGAGGAACCTGTACAGATACAAAGAGACAATAATTTGAACTGAACAAGGGGATACTTCATGATTTAAAATCAGATAAGTGTGCCAGAGTTGTACTGTTTCAGTATACTTATTCAATCTATATGCTGAGCAAATAATCTGAGAAGTTGGACTTTATGAAGAATCCAGCATCAAGATTAGAGGAACACTCAACGAGGCCAGGAATGCATAGGAAAGAAAGATACTGTGAAAAAGTAACCACAGGGAGGAAGTGGAAAGATAGCTGTTATGTTACGGGGATTGCAATGAACGTCATGAAACAAAATGTGTACACACCGTGGTGTCAAAAGTGAATTTGCTTTGTAAATGTTCACCCAGATTGCAAGTAAAACAAAAGATTGGAGGAAGACTAACAATCTGTGATACACAGATGACATGGCCTTCTTTGCTCAAAGTGAAGAAGACTTGAAGCACTTACTGATGAAGATCAAAGACTGTAGTCTTCAGTATGGATTACACCTCAACATATAGAAAACAAAATCCTCACAACTGGACCAATAAGCAACATCCTAATAAATGGAGAGAAGATTGAAGATGTCAGGAATTTCATTTTACTTGGATCAGTCATTGACACCCATGGAAGCAGCAGCCAAGAAATCAGATGATGTATTGCACAGGGAAAATGTGCTGCAAAAGACCTCTTTAATGTGATAAAGAGCAAAGATGCCACTTTGAAAACTAAGGTGCATCTAACCTAAGCCATGGTCTTTTGAATTGCCTCATGTGCATGTGGAAGACGAATAGTGAGTAAGGAAGACTGAAGAAAAATGGATGGATTTGAAGTGTGGTGTTGGCAAAGAATATTGAATATACCACAGACTACCAAAAGAACAAACAAATCTGTCTTGGAAGAACTTCAACCAGAAAACACTTTAGAAGTGGGAATGGCCAGACTGATGTCATGTACTTTGGTCTGTACTTTGGTCATGTTGTGAAAAGGGACCAGTGCCTGGAGAAAGATATCATGCTGGGTAAAGTAGATGGTCAGGAGAAAGGGGAAGCCCCTCAATGAGATAAATTGACACAGTGGCTGCAATGATGGGCTAAACATAGCAAAAATTGTGAGGATGGTGCAGGATCAGACTTTCATTCTGTCATGCATAGGCTTAC